GACTCGCAATCGAGTTCCACACTTGGAAGTAGTGAGAGTCGTTGGGAATCCCTCTTTCTCACTTTGAGCAAAGTGAGTGGTATGTCTTCATCGTCTTATTTGCCATGCAGCCAGAAAGGGAGATTTTGGAAACAATAATCTCTTTTTGGCACACCTGGTGAGACCCAGCTTAGGTTTTCACAAGTTTGTTAATCATATGTTCTGCTACTAGATTGTGTCAACATGGCAAGTCTTTATTCTGATGATTGCTAGAAGTTCTTCATGACTCTGCCACATACTTCCTCTTATGTTAATCCACTTTATGATGAGAGGGCAACAATAAGCAGTGAGTCTTTTAAATCATTTGTTGAAATAATAACTAATGCTAATGAAAAATCTGAAAAGCTTCATGAGGAACACATGAAGTGGTTGGAGGAAAATTGGAAAAGATGAAAACAAGAGATTCAAAAAATTCAAGAAAGATATCATCAAAAACTTAAGACCCCTCAACCCAAAAGTGAGGTCTTAATAGAGAATTCAAAGAAGTGCCATGTAGCCAGATCTCCAAGAACTCTAAAGTAGTTTTGCAAATCATAGAAGGTGACAAGGATGCTAGCTACTATAATAAATGAAGGTCAAATGACACTAAGGTCAGAAAGTAACCCCATGAGCATACTCAGGGGCATGAATCGCAATTGCAACACATTGTCCAAAGTTAGTGACACCATGTAGCCTTGGAGACAACTTTAGCAAGTATGCCTCCAGGTCATTCTAAGTCTACAAAGACTAATAGCAATAGTTTTACTATTCCTTGGAGGCATAAATCAACTCGGTTGCAGACATGTCAGCCATCCATCAAAAAGGTCCATCTGATGGTCGACAACAACTTGATGCTACTAGACAAAAGCAACACTTTGGTTAGTATCAATACATAAATTTGATAAGGCATCCACCTCATCTATTTCTACTTCTTTTAAGACTAATGAGCATATTCCTTCTACCTTGCTTAAGAAGTGTTTGCAATGACCATGCTTTTTTAATGGTCGAAGCCCTTCCAAGTTCAACTATAAACAATGGTTAAAGGTGAAATATCCCTTTAAAGTCATTAGTCTAAAAAGGGGAGTTATTTCTAGTCTCGAGGGGCAACCTAGTCAGAATGAACAACAGAGGCGACAAGGCCTTGTTGTCGATAAAGTTCTCAAAGCTACAGAAAAAGAGCTAACAATGCTTGTGCCATTGCAGCTTGATGCCAATCCAAATGTCCAACCAATGCCGCCACAACAAAAGCATGTCTACAAGCGTAGTCCACCTCAGCAATTCGCAGAGTTGTTGCCAAAAGCCACTCAAAAGACATGTAGGCCACCATGTTGTCCAACATGTCGTAGGCCATATTCAAACAATAATGATTCTTTTCGAAGTAGTATTCACAAAAGATCCTTAGATTTTCCTCATAGACACAAGGATAACATTGGAGGTGGCATGAGAAACACCATGACTTTGCATTGCCAACTCAAAGAAGGAGGAGGAAATCTAAGGACCTTTGTTGGACACCAAAGAGAAAACAAAAGTGACAAAACCATGTCTCTAAATGGCGGCATAAGGGGCGTGATCCTGTAAACAAGCATGGAGGCATAGGTTGATGCTACCTCTATAAACAAAATCAATTTAGACATGGTTGCCATATAAACCTGGTGGCCTACCCAAAGTTCCCTACCTAAAATCCTAGGACTTTTCAGAGGTGACTTAAAAAAAAACGAGCTAAAGAGTGTCAAAGGCATGCTATTACCAAGGTGCATGTTTTGGGCCCAAAGGCAACAACCTCCATGGAGGCAAAGGTTTATTTGGATGGAGAAGAAGAAACATGATGCAGCCTTTTATGAGGTAAATCAAAATGTAGTCAATGCAATCACATCTCCAAGAACGATTACCAAGCATGTTTCTCTCAAGTCGAATGACTCAAAGGCAACTAAAGAGCCTAATGTTAACAGCAAAACAATTAGCCTTGGTGAGTTTACTGTTGAACTTCCAAGTTCCATTTCAAATCTCCCTTTTGTTTTTACAAGGAAGTAAGATACAGCCTTTAGTAGAAAAAAGGCAGCAAAGAAAAAAACAAACATGTCTACCAAAGAAAACAAAGGGAAAAATCACAAGAAGGTCATCACAATACTTGTTCCAAGAGGAGGCACGTTACCGCTAATTGGAGGCATGCCGCTTAAGAGACGTTCTACTAAGAATATGAGACCTTTGCAGACACATGACATTTTTCATGAAGGCATATATTGGTTAAGCAACCTTGACAATAGTTTGCACCTCACAAAAATAGATGGTTTACCTTTTCAACCACGTTGCCCTTCGGTCTATAAGTCATGCAGTAGATCGAAATGGAAATAATCTCTTTACCTAAGTTAGGTTTGGGTGGAGATTAGTTTTAATTTAGTTTTTATTTTTAATGTTCTACAATTAGTGTGAATAATCTTGTAGTTAGAGTGACATTAAAGAAGGCTATGGGATAGCATTTCTTTTAAGACATGCTTTCTATGGAGGCATGCTTGATTTATGTCTCCATGTCAGCCAACAAGGGGATTCATGGAATTGTTCTTTTTGAAGGCTATATTTTTCCATTTTTGCAAACACACATTTAGTTGGTTTATTTCTCTATGAAGTCGCTGTGTCTGTCAGATTTCCATGTTATGCTGAAAAAAACAATAATCTCAAATTTCTACGTTTTTGGAGACATCATGTTGTTTTTATAGTGGCAACATGATGGAGTCTTAGGAACAAAATTTTCAAAAACTTGATTCAACTTCCATGAAGTCATGCAACCAAGTTTTGGGGCATTGTTTACACCCATTTTTGCAAAAAATAAATGGTGCCATGTGTCATCCATGTTAGAAAGAATTATGTTTGTTGAAAAATTGTTGATATAGATCTCTCCGGATAAGGTTCATTAATTGTTTCCACAATGTCAACAAGGTCGTTCGTTTGTTGCAAATTTTTAGGAGCATAATCGGCAGCACCAACAGATTGATCGATTTGTTGCAAATTTCATGCTACCATTAGCTTTCAAGATGTTGCCACAGATTGCCCCCATGCTGCCAAGGTGCCATAAATACCCGATGATGAGATCAAGCAAACAAGACTTGCCTCTCACATGACTTGCCTCTCACACAACTAACCCCGTGCTATCTACATTTCAGTTTCACAAGCAATGTCTTAGTTTAGATTTAGTTTTCTTGAACAGCTTTCCTAATTTAGTCTTTAACTCTACACTGCCATTAGTTTTAACTTTAATTTTTGTTATTTTGTTTTGAACATCTCCATTGATGTATTTAGTTTCTTGCAATTCAATTTACTACACTTTGTCCTAAGTTCATCTTCCTAGCTTCTTTTAAGTTTTGTTTTATGCTTCATCTTTTATTTCATTTTTTATGCTTTCATGCTGTCGCGACAACATCACGCTTTCTCTCTACAACTCTGTTTTCTTACCATGCACTCTCCATCTTCTCTTTTCCTTTATTTTTCTATTTTATTCTGATCAATAAACTAACATTTTGGCCCTAGTTGTGGGAAGTCCCTAATGTGGAGAATTATTTATAGACCTTTATGTAAGAATGTACCCTCATTTTTGCGACAATTGTCTAACTAGGGCATATCTCATGATTTATTTAACCAATGCTTTTCCATCAACTCGTAGACGAGTTCCACGCTTGGAAGTAGTGAAGGTCGTCAAGAATCCCTCTTTCTCACTTTGAGCAAAGTAAGTGACATGCCTTCATAGTTTTATTTGCTGTGCAACCAAAAAGAGAGATTTTAGAGACAACATACATTTTTTTTATTTTTTGCGGGAATAGGGATCCCTATGGGGTCCCACAGGGAAGGGAAAATTCCCCATGAAATTTCACATGGGGAAAATGCCTCCATCCCCATCTCGTGAGAAGGAATATTCCTTCCCACTCCATCCCCGTGGTGAGGATCTTTGTAGGAGCCCACAAGGATCAGGGCAAATTACCACCCCTAAATGAGGCACACTTCTTAGAGATTTGTTTATCTATCATTTCTTATTAACAAATCTATGAAGATCCAAAAAATGATTTTAAGACAATCTTTTGATACCACCTTCTGATATAACTTGATATATCATTTAAATAATTGATTTTTTTTATTCATGTGAAACTTATAATATTTAAAACATCTACTTATTTAATAACATATGAAAATTGTATAAAAAAATAATATAAAAAGATTATTCCTATAACATTACCCTAAAAATCCTAAATTGGTCAAAGAAGATAAAATTTTAGTTTTCATTTTTAATTGAATTTTTCTAACACGTGTTTCAAATGATTAAATCTATTTCAAGAATTTTGGGTTTTCCCAGAATTTAGGGTTAGAAGTTTGAACCCAAGAAATTAAAAAGGTCACAAGCTGCCCTACCCAGGCTACCCTCAATACCAGAGAAACACTAGTTGCCATTTTTTGTCGGCTAAACGTTGCGTTTCACTTCAGGCAGGCAGTACACTGGCCTTAATGGAATCGGCACGTGAAACTTGATATCAAAATCCACGTATAGTTCCACACGTGGAATCCTTTTCTTCGCTTTTCAAGCTAGAGTGCGAAACCACCCGACTGCAATGTTGAGCTTGTTTCGATTCCATGATCATTCACCATATTGAATACAGGAATAAATAAATAAATAACAATTCCACGATCATTCAACTGGGTCCTAAACCACCCAGCATTATCAATGATTAAGCAATGTACCAATTTCAAAGGCATCAGAGGTTGTTTCATAATTAACACAAACTCTAGTCTGTGTTGAAAGAGAACAGGGGAATGTAACAACGGAACTAACCTCTAATCAATATTTTTTTAACGAACAGCCTGTAAACTCTTGTTTCTGTGTTGGAAGAAAATTGGGCAATTTGAACAAAACTAAGATGAGTCATCAGAATTTGGCGTTAAAGATGACCGGAGGACCCTCATATACATTGTACGTACACTGATAATAGCTTTCTCCAACCAATATTTATCATACACCTTCTTCTCTGTTAACTTTTCATAGAACCTTCTCCACTTGTCCATGACTTGAATCAAACGCGTACTCTTGTTTCCACAAGAAAGAAACGTTATATAATCTCTCATTAGTAGTAAATATTCCTCACCATTGATGACGCATGCATACTGCAACAAAAAAGCATTAAGCCACAAATATTATATACAGATGTGATGGCGGGATGTAGGCATCTAGCCTTATCCATAACTAACATTTCACTGGCAAAAGCAAAAGTGCAAAAAATAAAACATGAGAAGAAACACTAACAAAATGTTTAAAAGTTAAGACAGATATGGTATCAACGGTTCTCTGTAACTTTGTGACAGTACCGAAAACAACAGCGTTATTTTCGGAAGGAAAAAGTTTTATTTAGTTGTTGGTACCAGTAGTCAAATATGGACTTGATAGTTGAGAGTAGCAGTCATGACAAGACAACTGAATAAACAAAAATGTTTTTATCTCAATTTTATAACTGGATTGTTTTATCCCGCACAAATTAATAAACAAATCCTGAATATAAAACATTAGTTCTAGAAAAAAAAATTTTAAAAAAGGTATTTACATTATTATCTTCCCAACAATCTTCTAGTCATAAGGCAATGGATCAATACTTTAAAACCTGCACCTTTTCTGTTTGATTTTTTGTGCATCGAAATGAATGAGAGTTCTCCAAAGATAATTAATACCATAGTAAAAGCCATCTAAACAGAAAGTCAAATGAAACTATGCCTTTACTTTCTCTTTCACTTTTGCTGAATTTTCAGACTTAGGGTCCAGGAAAGAGAGTTCAAAGTCTGATGATTGCTTTAATAGAATATACAAAAAATGCAAGTGATATAGAAAAACTCTACCTATGAAGAGATGCATGGCGTGCAAAAATAAATAAGTAGATTCTTATCCACGTTGAACAATTTTGCCAATGGATTGCTATAACAATTTGTCATCCTTATTACCTTCTCTTTTCTTTCCCCAGTTTTCCCTTTTCAATTTATATACCCTAAATTAAGGTCATCGGTCATTAGCATAGCAGAGCATGTCTTGCTCTTACATTCAATATCGACAAACATTTCAAGCAATGCACCTTTGATGTAATAAAGCAGGGGGACTAGCAACATCATCAAATTTCCATAAAGTCAATGTGTGCTCAAAAGAACCTAAGAAGAATAAAATGAAGCATCCTTACCAGGACAATAATGCCAATAGTTGCTAAGACCACTTTCATGGTCTCATCCACAACCCCAGAGAGGCTTTCATCCTCTGGTCCTTGATCATTGCCACTGCCGCCACCACCACCTCCTCTACCGCGTGGTGGATTACTGCTGCCTTTGCCCCCATCATAATATTCCTTTTTCTGCATTTGATCCTTTAAGACATCCAAAATTGGACTTTCTTTCTCAAAATTTCCTTGAGCTTTCTCAGTAGCTTTCCAAGGTGATCCCTTATTAAAAGTTAAAAAAAAAAAAATGTTAGAATAACAAATTTGATATTCCTGACCAAGTACACAAAAATTATACTTTACAAGCCAAAATTTTCATTAGCATATTATCCTCTCCATATCATCATGTTGCCTCCATTTTAGCACATTAGTCTCTGATTTCCTTCACTGCAAGACATTTGAGTTTTAATGTCACTTTTAGGAAGATTTTTATAATGATGAGTATAAAACTGTAGTAAAACTCTTTGGGTTTTTTGCAGAAGTCTCAAATACATATTAGAAGCAATTCATAAATGCAATAATTCAATAGCAACCTAATTTAATCTAGCTAAAATCAAGAATTGCTGAATGCCAACCTCTATACTAACATTCCAACCTTTAGACAAAACTAATAGTGAGATCCCTTTTCTGCCACTCATATAAACTAACAATTAATATCCAAATCATGTCTCAGTCTCATCCATTAGACAAAAAAATAGAACGTCTTCTAGCCCCCAAAATTTTCTTGCCACGAGTTGAAGTTGCTATTTTCACATAATTAAACAAATACCAACCCCAACACAATCAAATCAATCTTGCTTTCAGACTTATATTATAAATTAGCATCCCCATGCATACGAAGACTTAGATAAAAGTTTCTCACCTCATTATCAATTGCAGGGTTATCATTGCCACCTAGCGCACAAACATGAGATCGTTTATGAAACTTTGACATGCGGATGTCTTTATCCTGTCCTAAAAGAGGTGTAAAGTGATAAAAAGGTGATGCAGCAGCTGAAAGTTTTACTGAAGTTCTAGCAAGATGATTGGCACGGATTGGTAGAATAAATGGATTGGAAGGAGGGCAGCGCAATTGTAACACATGTCTGACATTCATTTGATTTATCATTCGTCCATTAGACTTAATGCATAGATTAGCCTGAACACAGCTCATCCTTCCTTAAATGCTACGATGCCTGGTCAATCAATCATGAAGATATAGTAAGGTAAACATATCCATTCATTGAGTTTCCCTTTAAGGCTACAACCAGATGACTACATAAATAAATTCAAAACAAATTTAAAAAACAAAGCTTTCATGTGAATTTAACAGTTTCAAATGGATATTAATGCATTAATCTAGGGTAAAAAAAGTATATATAATAAAAATAAAATTGGCAATAAATAGACAAACAAATAAAATATAACACTAAATAAAAGTTAAAAAAAAAAAAAAAATTGCTACCTAAGGATAAATGGCCTTCCCAAACAAAAACTATAACTGACTGTTGGCTGCTCCATTTTTTCCTTATTGTATATATCTATTTTCAATTAAAAGCATTCTAGAATTCACAAAATGCATAAACTTCATAGGTAACTTACTTTGTCTTGATCTCATTTCAAAAATGTTACATAGGTGGGAAAAAAAAAAAAAAAACCATTTCATACAGTACAAATCAGGGATACTAAAATGCAGAACTTAAATGAAATGAAAAGACTGAATTGACAAGGCGCATCAACATCAACTTTGTGGAGACTTCAGGGCCCCAGTTCTTCTTGTTCATAAATAAGTGTAAAACTCCCAAGAATGAAGACATAGACAACAAATCAGGCTTATCAATAGCAGATAGCAGCCAATAATGGGAAGGCAAAAGTTCGCTACCATAGTGTAGCAGCCAACAAAATATATGATTCATATAAGTTTAATTAATAGAATAATTGAACTAATAAGAGTGATTTAGATCAGCAAATTACAAGGCCTATAGCTCTAAAAAATACATGATTATCAAAAACTCTGAAGGTTTTACAAAATTAAATTTTGTTTTTTCCATTTTGTGACTCAACATCCTGATCCTGTTCATTATTTTAGCCCAGAGTTTTAATAATAGAAGACAGATTCAAGCACGCAGCATACCATAACCCAAGACATTAATCCTTCTCCTTCCCATACAATTTTGGGCAAATTAGAGAAATAATAAACCCTACTTAAAAAATATAAATTACAAACTTAAAAAAAAAAGAAATTAAAAAATTTTAATGTGGTAATAACTACAGCAGTCTCATTACAGTATTATACAGATTTTCTTTTGTGTTACAAAATTAAGGAACTTACAACAAAAATTAGACGCTAATTAGAGAAAGTACAATGCTTACCTCTCAAAATCAGTGCTATTCTCACTTTGGTTTCAATTGGCGGTGAATCAGAGAAGGAAATTGAAGAAGATCAGAAGAAGACTAGTGATCTCTACTCTTAAACTTTAGGCTAAAGAAGAACTAGAAGGGGGAATCGAGAGGGATAATCGGAGGAGATTAGAAGAAGAGAATCTCTATGAAGGGAGATTATAAGAAGAGATCGTTGTGCAAGAAAAGAAGAGAAGATTGCGGTGTTCTGCAACGCTCTCCAAGGGGAAGAAATTAGGACGTTTTAGGTAAAAACAAATAAATAAATAAATGCCAAAAATACTGTTACAAAAAGATTAAATCATCACTGTGATCCCTAAACTTTAAGTGTTGGACGAAGTTGGTCCTTGATCTTCAAAAACTACTAAGATTGTCCTTAAATTTTAATTTTCCAACACTAATTTTGTGAGAAATGTGCACAAACGATACAAATTTTGTCATTTTTTATATCTGAAGATGTAAAGTTTGTCGATTTTTAAATAAGACAGTAAAGTTTTAAATTTTTTCATTTAAGGATGTTAACTTTACACTTTTTTTATGTAAGGATATTAAGTTTGTGTTTTTTCTATTTAAAAATTAATTGGATAGTAATGTTAATGTGTTAAATGACATTTTTAGTTATTCAATTATTTCTTAAATAAAAAAATGCAAAGTCGATATCTTAAAATAAAAAAAGTTGAAAAGTTATTACTTTACTTAAATTTTGATAATGTTATATTTTTAAATAAAAAAAATAGCAATTTGTATTCTTATCCACACATTTCTCCCCATTTGGTCCTTCATTAGTCAAATGATGACATGGTCCAATTTTTAAATTACCATTATTGAGCCCATCGGATATGTTGGGTAATTTACGCACTTTGGCACGACTATTCATTGAATGTCATAGTCCTTGCTTTTATAGCATAAAAGGTTCATGTCATGGTACAAGCTCTTTCTACCAATGGTGGTGGGTTTTTATCTTCTATTTATGTCTCCCATAACTTTGAGAATAGGAGAATTTGTAGGATAACCTAAGAATTGCTAACTCTTACGACCTTCCTTGGCGTGTCCCTGGTCATTTGGATGAAAAGCTCACCAATTCTAACAAGATGGGTGGAAACCAATATTGTTAATATCATAACGGTATGTGTATTGGTTTTATTATTAATATAGTATATACCATTTATTGAAATATATCGTATACTGTTTAAGATTTACCATTATAAATATATTTTAATTTTATCTAAATTATTAAATATACACCATTTTATTCAATATTAATATATTCCTTTATTAATCCCCAATGGGCTTTGGACCTAAAAAAATATTTAATAGTGTAAAATGAGATAATTTAATATAAAAACTTGGGTTATTTTGAGGATTGGAGAATAAGTTAATAAAATTCAAAATTCACCTCTCCCCATGTGTCTACCTTCTTACTTTTTTTATTATGTTTTTCTCTTTGAAATCTCATCCAACACTTAAATCAATTTTCTCTCTTTTAACCGCAATCACTCATTTCTTTACTTTTTTTCAACTTCTAACCATTTTACTCAAATTTATTGTTAAGTTTCACTCTCTTGCAAAACTTGTTTCCTCCATTTCTCAAATCTCAATTAACCACTTCATTTCTTTATATCTTTCTCAATGCTTCTAAGCTAACCATCTCTTTAAGAGAAAGACTTATAAGTCAACAGTATCAACAACTATTTAGCAATTGTGGAAGACATCCTATATTTAGAACTTAATGTTTGTCTTTTTTGCTTTTGTTCCTCACCATTAGTAGTGTCGCTTTTTTTTTCATATTTTTGTACTGATGAAGCTCAATGAAGAGTTGTAGAGGTGAGTTTCAATTTTGGATAAATTACCCTAAATAGTAAAAGTTTTTTTTTTCCTCTTGATTTACAATAGAAATTGTACTAATTAAATTTTGATATATTGGTCGGTACGCAAAATACCTGCCAATACATCAAAATTTAACTGATATTTCTAAAATTTAATTAGATTCAAAATTACTCCAATACCATTTCAAACAAGGCATAAAATTGATACATACTAGCTATACTAGCTAGTAGAAAAATGGTATTAACAACCCTGGTGGAAATCTAATCTCTCATTAAAAGTTTAGAAATTTTAAAAGTTACATTGATGATTGTATCTTATTGGCCTTGGATTCACTCTTGGTCTAACCTTTGTGACCTTTCTAACTAATTCAAGCCTACTTAAATAAAGCCTTTGGTAACCCAACATAGACTCTTCTTTTCCCTTCAACTCTTGTTAGGCATCTTCCTCATACTTATTTTGACCATCAACCTATTCTTATCATCCCCACTTATCAACCCAATAGTTTTGGAAATAAGCTTTTTCATTTCCAAACGATGTGGTTCCACTACTATAACTTTGACAAAGTTGTCAAATACTTTTGGGATAAAACCAATCTCCAACTCTCCAAAGCTCTAACCATTTTTGGAAATACTCTTTCTAATTAGAATCACCACACTTGGCAATATCTTTCAAAGGAAAGCATATCCACAACTTATTTTAAAGGCATCGATAAATCCTTTTCTCAACACCTTTCCTGTTTTCCCTTGAATCTTCAAAGAGAGCTCATTTTCAAATATAATATTATCCTTGAAAAAGAAAAAGATTTTTGAAAACTTAAATCCTGAGTTAATTAGGTCAAATACAATGATTGCTATTCAAAATTTTTCCATCTCAACCTATTGTTAGAAGGAAGAACAATAAAATCTTTTTAATCCTTGACAAACCAACATCAACAACTCTCCAATGTTTAGCAACTAAGCTTGACTGGTGGAGCTGCCAATGTATGTAATAAAAAAAAAAAAAGTTTGCCTCAAAAAGTAGGAAATTGATTTGAATTAGTTGGGTTAAAACCTCAATTTGGTCCTCTCTACTTTAGCAAAAAGCTTCTTTTTAGTCCCTCTACTTAAAAAGTCCCTTTTTGATTCTTAAAGTTTAAAATTCGATCCCTTTTTAGTTCCTCCGTTAAGTTTTGACGTTAAATAACAGAAATTTCAGAGAAGATAGACCAAAAATGAGCTTTTTTTCAAAGTAGAGGGACCAAATTGAGGTTATTTTTAGCTTATTTTTAGCCCATTTTTTATTCCTCTACTTTGAAATTTCCATCATTTAATGTGACACATATACAAAATTTAATGGAGGGACTAAAAAAGAGTCGAATTTCAAACTTTAAGGATCAAAAAGAGAATTTTTAAGTAGAGGGATTAAAAAGTGGCTTTTTTTTTATCAAAGTAGAGGGACTAAAATGGGTATTTAACCAATTAGTTGTGTAAAATTCCATATTAAAAAATAACATCTTTTAAAAGGTTGGCTATAGCAATGAACATATCCAAGACATCAATAATTTGTTGTTTTAAGGAAAATGCTATGAAGAGAATGACTAACCATATAAAACATCACACAGATGAAAAGGACTCACAATGTACTTGCAAAAATAAAAAAATTCATTGAAAAGGTAATTTTACCCATCATTAGTCGATTAATTGAAGATTAGCATGTGATTGGGAATAAAATTTGGGATGGTAAATCAATTTTAGTGAACTTTTCATAAGATCAAGCAAAACTTGATATGCTGGTATTATGGAGACAAAAAAAAATGTCATCAATTCCCGAAAATGTGTGTAGACCCTTTATAAATAAGGTATTGCTTTCAATTAGAGAAAAATGGATGAGTCAAATATTGGAGAAGATTGTTTACATTAAACAAGATGATGCAAAGCCACATAAATAACAATGATGTTAATCTCTTAAAGCTACAAGGATGGTGTAAGAGCAGGTCCGAGGTGCCCAACCTTGGACGGACGACAGTAATTCCTTTACAACCAGAGTAAAGGGGTAAATCCAGAGCTTCCCGCTCGAACAGCTACACAGCTGTTACGATGGACATCCTTGCATCTAAATATGTCTCAATCTCCCGGTCCCGAAATAACTGCTTTGAGATACACATCAAATCCCGAATATCTTGCTTGGCTCAGTCTCCCGGTCCTGAAATAACTGCCTGGAGATACACATCGGATCCTGGATATTTTGCTGGGCGTCTTGTTTGGCATGCCGCGTGGATTCTCCATCAGAACATATAAATACCCCTTAAGGGCCCCGCCAAAAGGTAATTGAAACCAACCCTAAGCTCCCTGTTTCTCCACTCTAAAGGTAGCCCCGATTATTGCTGACTTAAGCATCGGAGTGTCTACCCCGAGGATCCACCTCGGGGCTTTGCAGGTCAATTCAGAGTGCATATACGGACTAAAAGAAGGACTTCTGGTTTGGTGCAGTTACAGATGGAAGGATTGGAAATATGGTTAACAAGCTGTTGACGTTGGAAAAAAATGAA